TTCACATATGATTAAATTATTTCGTAATACTTTCGCAGAATGCAAAATTACATATGAAAATCGGGAAATATCTTTTGCATATGTTAGGAAATTACATGACATTCAAGAAAAAAAAGGTCTGAAATTAGCAAATAAATTAGGTAATGCACATATACATTATTTTAATAAAAAAATGAACGTTTCACTTGCATCTCAAACAATAAGCAGTAGTGTTGCTGATGCCATCGATTATTTAAGGAAAATAAAATCTTTAGGATTTGAAGTGATGCCGCAACAGAATTGATAAGAATATTTGATAAACTGTTTGACATTTTAAATGCTAGAAGTTGTTTTGGAACGAATTTCAAGTCGCCCATGACTCCTAAAAATTTGGATTATTATAAATACTTTTAACAATAATATTCTTTACATTTTCCAAATTAAAAATTGACGAGTTCCTATTTTTCATTATCGAAGATCAACATTTGCAGTAGGTTTTATAATAAATATGTATAGTATGATCAATTTAGCAAAGAATTTATTTTCTAAAGTTAATCCATTACGTTTATTTTTGCCGTATAAATGCTCGCAAGACTATTAAGAACTTTTCTTTTCTTGCAAGAGCTAGAGGGGGTTGGAATAATAATCCTGACTGCTTACAATTCATATGGATTATACGAAAACTTTTGTTTTTAAATAATGTTAAAAGTAGTATTAGTGCAAATTGCATTGATGATAACACTGCAATGCCTGCTATTTTTAAGTGCAAAACTAAAACCAAAGAGAACTCTGAAGCTTTTGATTGTAATGATTTTAAACGTATAATAAATATAATTCAAGCTATGGAGAATATTAATATATCATTTATTCAGCAAAATATTATATATCTGGTTATATTGTTCGGGGTTTAATAAAAAAAATAAAATGTGATGATTGTATTGCAATTTTAACCAATACAAATAATAAGACTTATGAACATAATTATTGTTCAAAAATATATTCAGAATCTTCTTTTATGAAATTCATTAATCGTGGTAAATTATATTTACCATCTGCAGTAGTTTATAATATAATACTATTTGTTGAAAAAGCTTTTAAAGCTGAATTAAATGTGCAATCTATAAACGCAAACCATTTTGAAGCTAATATTATTCGAACTACTATACAACATTATATTCCAATAGCTATGTTTTTATTCAAACCACAATATCCTGTAACAGATATTGCAGGAATGGAGGAACTACATGAAATACAATTAATTAGAGCTATAACATCATCATATATTTTTATTCGTATTTCTAAATATAATAAAAATATGACGGAACGAATTTTGGATAAACTTGTTAATAAATGTAGTAAACTTCATAAAACCATTTTATTTTATAACATTTAATTATTTTATTATAGTTTTATTACAGTCAAAAGCTTTTGAGACATACATAATGTTACAGCATGTTAAATATTTTATATTTCTAAGCAATTGGATTATTTTGTAATGTATTTTTTTGGACTGGCTTAATAATCCTTATATAGTGATATTTATTACTTTATGTGCAATCTCTTAAACCAAAGAATGAACTTAAAGATAATTTTATTTTATATTTATAAGATATTTATTTTTCATTTAAGCTGCAGATATATTATTTTTAAGATTGTTCTGCTCAGTATTTTATTTATGTTTTTGTGTTTTATGATGTATATATGTATATCGTTATTAATAATATATATACATCGTTATTAATTTTTGAAAAAAATTCAATATTTTGTAACAAAAGATATTTTTTGTGTATAATACGGAATATATAGTTGTATATCTCCAGTATGTGTTAAAATTCTTATTTTAATATTCAAACATTTATTTCAGTTGATTGAAGTACATCCAGCATTTTACATATGTTTATGTACGTTCCATACGGTAATCTACATAAAATAATCTACATAAGGAAGAAATGCATTACTGTATTTCTATTCATCCAATATCGGAACATTTTTTATAATTACGTAAATAAAAATAATGAAAAGATAATGAATTGTATAAATAAAAAATAATAAATATATTTTTTAATCTTTTTTACTATTTACCTGCTACATTTTACAAGTAAAACATTTTAACTATATAAATATGTTCAAAATTTAAAATAATCATTCCAGAGTAAAATTTGCATAGCGAAATTCGCATATTTTCGCTATTAAACGTTCGAAAATTTAAAATTAACGTCGAGAATCTTCTCGAAATATCTATTTATTAGAAAAACTCGAACGTTCGAGTTATCTCTCTTTTTCTTCACCAGAAAAAATGCTCATCATCGCCGCTAACAATATTATTGTCAACCGTCGTTGAAATTTATGCAGCTTATGGGCATGCGCGCCCATGCGTCACGATCAGCTGATCGCCAATCAGCTGATCTAAAAAGATTGCGCGCATGACAAGTAAATAATATCCGACGTCAGACCTCATCAACAACCAACTACACGCGCCGCAATGAGGTTACCGCTAAAAGATTAAATTAATTGGTCCACGTCGCAGCGAGCCCAAAAATCCGCTCGCTATATAATGGGCACTGCGTGTGGACCAAAAAAGTCTCGCACTTTTTCGCTGCTCGCAGTATTTTCGTAGAACTGCTTTGTCAAAACCGCTTTGTCTAACCGCTTTTAAAACGATCGCTTTCTCACTCGGACTTTCGCACTCTCGGCTTCAGAATTATTTCGTTACCTGAAATAATTGTACTCATTTTATTTGTGTAAAACTTTAATTTACTGTGTGGTGTCAAATAAAAATCTAAAAATACCAAAAAAATTACGTGTCGTGTTCAGTTAATTTAGCGTTTAATATTATGTTCGTGGTCGTCCGTTTGCCACATTCTGTAAACTTTGCGCTGTAGCAGCGATTCGCGCTCACTCGCGAACAGAATAACATATATTTACATACATATATTTTTTGTTATTATGTGTCCATACGAATACTTTACGAAATGTTTTTGATTATAACTTCTTTTTTATACATATAAAAAATAAAAATATATAAATAAAAGAACGAAACATTAATAATTTTCAATAATAAAGGTGAAAAGCAGCTGTGAGCAGGAAGGTTGTCAGTTAGTCAATCGAGTTAAGGTTAGTAAGACTGATGTTTGTAACAAAGATCATATAAAATTATCGACCAATCAAAATTTACTAGACGGAGACAGGAATCGTTCCAAAGCAACTTGTCCTTTTCTTTTGATGTCCCAGGCGCTAACAGCGGCAGTGCACATTCCAGTTATAGTATAGAGTTCACTGGTTGTAACTCAATAAATTGACCAATCCAGTTGACCAAACAGTCGACTATTCTTTTAATGCTTGAATGAGATTGGTCAATTCCTTAAGTTACTGCTTTAATCCGTCTTAAGAAATTGACCAATTACAGTCAAGTATAAAGAGTATATTCGATTGTGATTGGTCAACTTCTTAAGTCTTACCCCTTAAGTCGCCTTAAAATCTCAGTGTAGACGACGCTTCAAGAGTCGTCTACAATGGTCGTAGCATAAGGTTGTAAGGCGTAAAGCCTTGTTTACATTGGACGTAGGACGTAACGTAGAGATAGACGTAGACGTAGACGCAGACGTAGAAATTCTTCGTGGTTAACATTGAAGTACTTTTCAATATGTTCGACTAATGATCGTGGTCCTTATAACCAATCATAGAACTGCATCCTTAACCTTACTTTTATTTCGAAAGTTTATTGTGTTTGTTTTGCGAGTATCAGTGATTGTATTTTCGAATACGAAGTAAAAAAGATGAGCGAAGAATTAGATCGTCGGTTAATTTTAATGGTGGAGAGTAATCCCCATTTATACGATAAAAAATTACCGGGTTATAAAGACAAGGTACTCTGCAATAATTCATGGAAGTCTATTGGCGATCAATTGAATATCAGCTGTAAGTCTACAATTGTTGTTTTAATTTGTCGAATTGTTTAATAAAAAAATAATAAAATATTTAATTTATTTGCAGCGGAAGATGCTATGCGACGTTGGAAAGTTCTAAGAGAACGTTTCAGCAAGGTTAGGAGGCAAAAAGCAAACATTCCTTCTGGGTCTGGTGCATCGTCAGAAAACCAGGAGATTGAATGGTCTTTATATAATACCCTACTATTTTTACAACCCCATGTACAAAATAGAAAGTAAGAATAACTTTTGTAGTATGTTCTATTTTGTTGTACTTAGTGCAATATATATGGAATAATGTTATGTACAGGACAATTGGTAACTTAGCATTGAGTGCCAGTCAGAAGAATAAATTTTCAGACAATATTCTTGTCGACATCGACAAGAACCCACCAGAAACTCAGTTAGATTTATTGGACGAATCAGTAGAATTCATAGATGAAGATGTTCGCAGCTACCTGTTAAATATAAAAGAGGAAACAGGGGACAACGGAACTTCGAAATGTACCGAAAAATTGGATTCCAATAAGAAACGACCATTGTTGGAGATAGAAAATCAACAAAAGAAGAAAAAGAAACCTCAACCTTTACCTCCTGAGGAACGTCTTATCTCCATGCTCGAAGGCGTAGAAAAAACAATCGTAAAAAGAGACGATGCAAAAGATGATGTTCTTTGGAATTTTTGCATTTCATTATACGGATCGATGAAAAAAATGACAAAGACAAAAGTGAAAGACATGAAATTCAAAATTTCTCAACTTCTCTATGAATTCGAGTCTGACTCGGAAAATTAAGGTATACGATACGTATATAATATGTCATAAATATTAGTTTAAAAAGTAAAAATAGTTTATTACATAAATTTACATACTTTTACATATTGTTTATTATACAAATTGTACTTCTTTGTTACAGCAACAGAACAATCACGATTTGCTGAACACAAGACCAAAGAAAGGATATATCCAGTGAGAAATGGTACGTCGAATTGATGTGATTTGCTGTACCATTTCTCACTAAGTATGTATTGTTATATGTTGTGATAAATGCATATATATATTGATAGTTAATATCTGAAAATATATTTATACATTTTAAAAACTTCCTCGTTACATAATTATACTGCCAATCTACTTTTCCTTCTGGCGACACAAGATAATCAGCAAGGGTATTTCGTAAATCAATATCCGCTCGTGTAGAACGATTTGTCCCTGTGCGACCTAATTCATCAATCTGAGGACAGTTTACTCGCCAGTCACCAAGAATGACACATCCTGAATCATCATAACGATCTACATAATTATCTGGACAATAATAACGCTGCTTACTTGACAATTCTTCTATTTTAACGAAGTTATGTAAACATAATGTAGCGCATACAATTCTTTCAATTGTACTAACACTGGCAATTATGTTAGTATGTAGAATTCGCCACCGACTGGCTAAAATGCCAAAGGTATTTTCAATAACGCGTCGAGCACGTGATAGGCGGTAATTAAAAATTTGTTGTTTTTCTGATAAATTTGTTCCGGGATAAGGCCGCATTATATAGTGCTTAAGTGGAAAGGCTTCGTCTGCAGCCACAAAATACGGAAACGCGATATTAGTTCCACGTAAATTGGTAGAACCTGGAAGGCCTAATTCATTATTATCCATAGCTTTCCCAAATGCCGATTCTTTAAAAATGCCACCGTCGCTTTGAGATCCGAAAGCACCGACATCAACAAGTGTAAACAAATAAAAAGCATCGCAAACTGCCATTAGAACTATACTAAACGTTTTTTTATAGTTAAAATACTGCGAACCCGATTTTTTTGGAGCTTGAATCGTTATATGCTTCCCGTCCATCGCACCAAAACAATTAGGTAAATTCCAGCGATACCAGAACTCCGTTGCTTTAATTTCCCATTCTTCAGTAGTTGGTGGTTTTAAGTAAATTGGGGATAATTCATCCCAGATAACTGCACAAGTCTCTCGTATTACATTGCTGACTGTGGACTTGGAAACACAGAAGCTCCATGCAACTACCTGCATGCTCGGTCCATGGGCAAGATAACTAAACAAATACGTATAATTATCTAATAACATATGCTTAACTCAAGAATAAAAATCTGAAAAATATATTTATTATAATACTCACTACAATGTCATAACCAGCCGAAACTCCGGACTTAATGGCTTTCTTGGACTGATTTTTATTAATCTATGTTTAACAATATCCAGCAACTTTTCAAATTGATTGACTGTCATTCGAGTGTACTTAAAAAATTGTTCATCATCTTTTTCTTTTATATATTGGAACAATATATAATATTGGCTCCTTTTACCCGATTTCTCAACAGCGGACGAACCCACCATCGTCGCTTGTTATGAACTTTTTTTTTTTGCAAAGATCTTAAAATCATACCCACTGCAGTGAAAATTAAAGAAAATCTTAATAATTCTAATTTTTCAATTTCATACATTTTATAAAAGTGAATATATCAATCGTGGTACAGTTTAGAGGTTAACCGGTAAGTGTCCGCGCAAATGGTATACACCGGGCATCCCTCTTGTGATTGGTTGGACGTAGAAAAATATTAAAAATTTTAAAATTCTACGCCTACGTCTACGGCTACGTCTGCGCTTAAGTTTCAATATGGACGGTAACATGCTATTCCTATCTTTCCAATTCTTACGTCTACGTCTACGTCTACGTCCTACGTCCAATGTAAACAAGGCTTAAGACTCAAAAAACTGACCAATCACAATCAAGTATGGCCGTATTCCGAAATTGCTGCCAGTTTGCTGCCAACACTGAAAATATATCATATACGTAACGTGCACTATAGAATTTGCAGTACCGGTAACAATTTCGGAACACGGCTAATGAGAAGAATGCTCGGGTGTGATTGATCAATTTCTTAAGGTTTAGGGCTTAAATTATCTGTTGTAGATCGGGACTAAAGGTTCGTCTGCAATGACCGTAGCATAAGATTGTAAGGCGTAAGACTCAAAAAATTGACCAATCGCAGTCGAATATTCTCTTAATACTTGACTATAATTGGTCAATTTCTTAAATCTTACGCCTTAATTCTCCTTAAACTTTCATTGTAGACGACGCTTAATGTAGCGTCTATAATTAGTTTTTAAGACGTAAGTCTTAAGAAATTGACCAATCACGGCCTAGTTTTAAGAGAATATTCGATTGTAATTCGTCAATTTCTAAAGTCTTACGCCTTAAAATCTTATTATAGACAGAGAGAAGACTGAGAGGTGTCATGGCCCGCTTTTAGGTGATCCCTGAAAGCCATACGCCCTCTGTTAATCTAAAAAACGTGGACATGAACTACAAAGCCAATGTCCATGAAAGTTCTCAGAGGGTAATTTATAATGTGCACAATTTCTGGTTCTGTTCCCTGCTATGTGCACAAAATGGCGGTAGCATCAGTGCTGTATAGCAAGACGCTTATGTATATTGAATAAATTTTTAATGATGAATTTTTAATGAAATTTTTAATGAAGAATTTTTAATGAAATTTTTAATTGTGTGACTTTCTTTTTCCCTCTCTATTGATTATTTATAGAAAAATTATATTAATAGTAAAATTATAGAATATAAATTATATTATTAGATAAATTATATTATTATATTGTTATATATAGAATAGAAATTAATAGTAAAATAAAATATTATATAATAATAAAATGTGGAATATTATATTTATTTTTTGTTTTATTTGTGTAATAAAAAATACATTATATAGATTATAGATTTAATGATATTTAATTTAATTTAATTTATTTATTTTTATTTAATTATAGAAAATATAAGTATTTCTTCCACACCCTCTTCCTCCGCCTCGACCTCTTCCACCTCGACCATGAACTCTTCCTCTCCCACCTCCTCCTCGTCCTCTTCCTCTCCCACCTCCTCCTCGTCCTCGTCCTCGCACCATTATTATAGCATTTGCTATAATATTTCCGAGCTCTTGAGCCTGAAACATATACATATACAAAAATACATTAGTATTTTTAACAATAAAAATATTAACAAAATTGATATATGCCTTAAGCGTTCGATTATAATTGTTCTCCCATCTTTTCTTAAAGTCTGAACGTAATAACAGTTAAATATCCGCAGATATTGCGAAATTAAGAGACTTTTATTAATTTTAGGCTTTGTTGTATTTAACTTTAGCTTTAACCTGAGCTTAGCTTTCTCTATCTAAAAGAACAATTAAAAATGAAGAATAAAAACAATTAAGATTAAAATATTATTATATGATCAAACGCTAAGGCATTAAGCAATATTAGTATGACCGGTTAATATAAGCCTTAATTGAAATGTTAAAACCATCCAATATTAATATAATGAGAATCCATAAAATGCAAATCGCGGTTAATAATAATTGTCTTGTGTGCACTATTCTTAATGATAATATTCTTAATGATATATATAATATATTTTTATAAAGTTTTATAGACTTACATTTAATGTAAAGGTTTGCGCTAACGTTATCGCTGCCGTTGTCATCGGCGTCGAATCTGTTGTCGTCGATGCCGGCGTTGTCGCTGTTGCTATCGTCGTCGGCGTCGGCGTCGTCGCCGTTGTCGTCGTCATCGGCGCCGGCGTCGTCACCGTTCCTATCGTCGTCGGCGTCGGCGTCGTCGCCGTTGTCGTCGTCATCGGTGCCGGCGTCGTCACCGTTTCTATCGGCGTCGGCGTCGGCGTCGGCGTCGGCGTCGATGTCGGCGTCGGTGTCGGCGTCGTCGCCGTCATTTCCAATGTTGCCATCGTTCACTGAAAAAAATTAGGAAAATAACATGAAATTAGAATCCACATATAAAAATATTACACACACATATTAAAAAGATGTAAACACAAGTATCAAATATTCGATTGATGAGATCTGTGATTATTTATAATAAAGAAAACACAACAGAAATATTAATTTATCTTCTTCCCATGAAATATATTAAAGTTTTCATCCTTTTCGTGCATATATAAATCAAATACGGTAATTTTCCATGAGAATCATTCTTTTTAAATACATTTCATAGGAAGAAGCCAAATTCCGCCGACAGATTTATATATATATAATTATATTATATATATTATATATATATATATATATATATAAATATATATATATATATACATATAGATTATATATTATATATATAGATTTATATTAATATAAAATTATCTACTTACAAATATTATCCACGTGCTGTACAACTCGAGAGTTTTGAGCGAACTAATGGCTCGTGGCTCGCTGAGACCCGATCGCTGCCGCGTGGTCGCTATCCCCTCTTCTTCGCCCATCCTGAGTGTTAAACACGCCCGTCTTGAGTGCTGACACGCGATATAGTGAACGCTGTATTGTCAAGAAAGACAAACATTAGACTCCTGTCGATATAGAGTGCATCGCCGTATTTATAATCGTATTTACGCGTCTATTTCTGTTTATGTCTTATTGTATTTCTTTTTCTGCTTTTCTTTTTTTTAATACAATAAATAACTGAAGCAGTTAAAAGAATCTTTTCACTCGAGATGTTCGAAAAGTTATACGATTTGTTGATTCGGTGCTCTTTATACGTAATTGTATTAAATGAAAGTTTTTAATAGCCTATTCTTTCGATTCTTATTAAAGTCGCTATTTTAATTAAAGTAACGGCATTAAGTCCTCTTATTACTTTATAAATTGATAAGTAGTTATAAATGTATAAATTGATAAGTAGTTAATGTATATAAATTTTGTGCATTAATATAGTAAATTAAGTTTCTTTAGTATTTTTTAAGCGTGGTATTATTTGTTTCTTTGGTTATATTATTATTACCACGTATTTTATTTCTGTATTTTATTTTTTTGCTTATTTAATTTTGCACCTTTAATTTCACTTTCAGGTTAATTTAATTTTGTATTTAATTATAATTAATTTTAATTTTGTTGCACATTACATTTTACATATTTTTATATATTTTAATTTTGTTTTATTACATAATTTTGCTTTATTTCAAATCAAAAAGATTTTATTTATATCGATTTTATTTATAGATTTTATTTATATTGAAATAGAAAAATTATTTTTTGTGTATGGGAGTCAAACATTTCTAATAGCAATAAAAGATAATAAAAAATTTCATTAAAATACAATATAAAACATATTTAAATATATCAGTTAAAAATATTAATAAAATTAGAATGGATCAGTGTTATACAGAAAGTGTTTATGACAAGTGCGCGTATAAAAAAATTGTCGCAATGGTCGATATTCAACGGGATCGCATTTATTTCGATTTCCATTAAGTACAAATGCAAGACACAAGTTATGGATACGCAATAGCGGTAAGTTCTTTCTTGAATTTATATTTATTTGCATATGTGAGTATATATGTACAGAATAATAAAAAGCAATTGTCATTGTCTAATTTATTGCTATTATTTCTTTAAAATTTCATGAAATGGGCAAATTCTATTTATTATTTATTTATTCGATTTATTAACGATTTATTATTCATTATTTTATTTTATTATAAAATTTCATCATATTCTTATCCCCGCCCTTTTAAAAGCTCCTTTAAAATTTATTTATTATCTATTTTCATTATTTCCGTATATAAAAAAATATTTAAAAATCCGTCAAAATGGGAAACCTTAATCTTTCACGTGAGAATCCAGGTGTTTCTCTACTGAATCACTGCCATCGTAAAAAATGAACTCAATAATAAATATAATTACTTATCGTACACGTACATTTTCGTTAACTTTTTCTCTGCAATTTTCGAAAAATCCATCGAGAGCTTTGCAAGGAAACTTTATTCGATGTAAACTATTCGTGCCAATTTCTTTATCCAAATCGGTGAATCAGAGTGAGATTTGTTTGTAAGTTTCTTTATGCATAAAAAATACAATACAATATTTACAAAAATTAACAATATACTCAATAAATATGGAAGAAAAGAGGATGAAAATATTTACAATTATTTA